AGGACAATGTTAGTAAAAGAAATGGCTGTTTTTCTCATTATGACTATTTCTGAATATTTTTTTATATTTGCTGCACTAGTAAGTATGTCAATAGCACCAACTGATTGATGTTCAAGTCAGATTACTGAAAGACGGTTAGTGTAAATAGGTAGCCACCTCTTGAGCACACTCTCCTGGCCTGGGTGGTTCTGCAGCACACTTCCTTAGTTTCCCTTTCTCCCAGGGCTCCTCAAAAATGTCACCAATTCCATGTAATTTTAAAATATCTCCCTTCTGGAGGTGGATCCACTTTAGCCTATAGAGACATTAGTACTTCATACCAGCTTCCCCAGCAGGCCCCAGGGTTCTACAGTTTGAACAGTTCTCTCTCCTGGAGTCAGGAGTCCCCCATCCCTCCTTCTCAGAGCTGAGTTCAGTCTCTCTCATTGAATCAGGAGTCCCTAGCCCTCCTTCCTGAAGCTGGGTTATAATCCAAACAGTCCCTTTATTCCCTACAGGAATCAGTCTCGCTCCTTACAGCACTGACCTGCAACAGCTTCTTCAGGCCAGTTGCTTCTGTTCTGCCTGACACTCCCAGCCCTATGTAGCTCAAGTGGGAGACAGTAATACTCCAGTTCCTCACTCTCCTTCAGGCTTCTCCCTTATATCTGTAGGCCTGGCCTCAGTTAGTCATGACCTCATTTATTAGTACTCATCCTCCCCATTTGGGGAGAGGAGCTAAGCTTGTCCCAGGTAGGGCTGTGGCCTATCACCCCTTAAGGGGCCCAGCCACTCTGTGACAGGTAGCATTGGGTGATGAAATTGAGGATTGGCTCATAAAACTTAAATGCAACACTAGAGCTTGGCAAAATTTTACATGCAAAACCCTTTTTTTTTTTTTTTTTTTGCTGAAAACAAATGCAGATTCATCTCGACTGAAACAGTTCGTGAATTTGGGTCGATTTTGGCTCATTGTTTAGGTCCGAAAAAGAAAAAACATTTGCAAATGTCAAAATGTTTTATTTGTGTATTTCCAAAACAAAATATTTATATTTTTTCATTGCAGAAAGATGTTTGATTTTGAAATTTCCCTGAGTTTTATTTAGTCCAGGGGTCAGCAACCTTTTGGAAGTGGTGTGTCGAGTCTTCATTTATTCACTCTAATTTAAGGTTTCACGTGCCAGTAATACATTTTAACGTTTTTAGAAGGTCTCTTTCTATAAGTCTATAATATATAACTAAACTATTGTTGTATGTAAAGTAAATAAGGTTTTTAAAATGTTTAAGAAGCTTCCTTTAAAATTACATTAAAATGCAGAGGCCCCCGGACTGGTGGCCAGGACCCGGGCAGTGTGAGTGCCACTGAAAATCAGCTTGCGTGCCGCCTTCGGCATGCGTGCCATAGGTTGCCTACCCCTTATTTAGTCTGTTTTTAAATGTTGGGGGGAAAAAACCTTGAAATGAAAATGAAAATTTTTTCAACATTTCAGTTCACTGAAAATTGTGAAACAGTTTCCTTTTGGGTTGACCCAATGTGATTTCTCTTTAATTTTTCAGACCTGCCCCTGACCCAAATAGTCAGTTATTCAGCCAGTGTTAACAGCATCCATTAATGTGATTATTTGGAGGACCAGCCACAGCTGTAAGGACTAACTCAAGATCATTTGTTCCCAAATGCAGCAAACATTAATCTGAGGCTATGTCTACACTGCCCCACAGTTCAGGTTACAGGAGTGTGTACCAAAATGTTATTCTGTCACTCCCCTGAGTGGATGCTGTTGGCACAAACTAAAAGGCTCCTGTTTTGCATTACAGTAGCCCTGTTTGAAGAAGACTAACTTAATATGAACTAGGAACCTTTTAATTCGTGTCCGCAGCACTCACACCAGGAAGTAACAGTGCAGCACTTTGGAGCACGCTACTATTCACAACTTGTAGTCCTGCAGAGAAGTGTAAACAAGCCCTATCTTTACCACTAGTCCTAGTAGGCACCTCTCTCGCCACTGTTTTTTGCTGTATCAGTGCTCCCCTCTTTAAAGAGCTGCTTGTACTAATCTAATTCCACTGAAATCCATCATAAAATCTGCAAAATAATCTCCTCACATGTACCCCTCTCTTGATGCAAGAGTGTCAGAAGTCACCGATAAGCTTTTGCTTTAGGGTGCAAGATCAGTGACGCTGGGATCTGTTGCAGATGGAAGTGAAAGACACAGTAGGGGATGTGAAAGCAGTAAGGACTACAGGCAACTCTTCCCTTAACTTTTTATTTCCGTGCTTTTCAAGTTTTTGAGTTGGTGGGGTGTGTCTTTGTTCAATCTTTACTGTCAGTAACTAACATTTTTATGTCTATTATATTATGTATTTTTTCACATTGTAATTCTCCTACCCTCAAACTGTCAAACAGGAAATGTATAGTGTAGGAAGGGTGTGACAGTCATGCACACGGGTGGGCCTTACGTTTTGATATGGCAAATTGACTTTGCTACAAGTATGTTCCACTGTAGTTGAAGACACTGCAGCCTTTTTACTTCTAAGGGCTGGTCTACACTGGGAACATACAGTGGCATAGCTACATCTCTTGGGAGTGTGAAAAATCCACACCCCGTGAAAGACGTAGCTATGCCAACCTACCCCCATTGTTCACCGTGCTAGCTCAACAGATGTCAACTTAACTACCGCTTCTCAGGGAGGTGGATTACCAACAGTGACAGGAGAACCCCTCCCGTTGGCGTTGGTAGTGTCTACCCAGAAGCACTATGACAGCTGTGCCACTGTAGCAGTTTAAGAGTAGACATACCCTAATAGTAAAATATTTTTTAGGTTATGGTTACACTAAAAATGCTACAGTGTCACAGCTGTGCCACTCTGGCGCAGACACCTACTGCAGCAAGAAAGGGGTTCTTCCATCACTGTAGTAAATCCACCTCTCCCAGAGGCGGTAGTTAGTTTGACGAAAAAATTCTTTCGTCAACCTCGTGGTGTCTACACGAGGCTTAGGTCGGCTTAATTACATTGCACAGGATGGGAAATTTCACAGTTCTGTGCGATGCAGTTAAACCAACCTAATTTTGTGAAGTAGAGCAGCCCTTAATAAGTGAGTTGTCCAGAATTAAAACAAGTGCCACTCTGTGGTATCAACAATGTAAAATGCTTTCTCCCATTTAATTTCTGGATTTATGAACTTCTACAAACATAGGCCACTGCTGGTGACTTCCTCCCACCAATTCCCCAGTAAAGAAGAATGGATTTTTTTCCAGAGAGGTCGCCTCCCTTTATTTCCCCACACACACACTATACTCTAAGGGGCCACCTCTTAGCAACCATCTCTCCAACCAAAGAGGGGTGAAGGCAAGATCCCTAACCATAATTCTATGTGTTAGCTATAAAAGAGGTATTATTCAAAAATTATGTGAGATTCTCCCTTCTCAGGGACTGCCTAACTTACTGCCTCAGCAGTACCAGACTCTCAGCCCAAAAAGGAGGGACTAGAACACAGATTGTGCATGTCAGAGTGTATTCTGCAGTTCATGAGTCAGTGAAGTTGCCCCTGGAAGGGTAATTTCTCCAGGGTATGTATAACAGCTGCTGTATTCAGACTAAACATCACCTATTCTTTAAAAGTATTTATATTGAGGTTTCAAATGAAAAATATAATGAACGTCACTTAAATGGATCATATTCCAGGATAAATTTGAAGTTACATGGAGCCAACTAAGGACAACTTTAAGGTTTTGATATAGAACATAAGAAATGGAAGAAGAATAAACCATAAAACTTCAGCAAATAGGAAGAGCAGAGAGAGTGGAAGTTTTGCCTTTAAGAAGGAGTGGTGAAATTAATGATCCAAAACTCCAGTTTTGGGTGCAGTGCGGTGGAATTCTTCAGAGCAGCTCTTATTTCAACAGGCAGTTCCGTAACTACGAGCAGCTCAACGAATTGTGCTCATTAGCATAAATTTCTGTTTAGTGTGTACTATTCTTTGACTCCATAATGTTTTTATGGCTATGTTCACATGTGCAAATACAAGTGTAAATAAATCTTCCTTTTTATGTTGCACTGTCTGAGAGTTGCTTAATTGGGAGGTGTTAGGGAAGCAGATTTAGTTACAGCATGCTAAAGGATTAGTGAGAAGTGCAAGAGGACTTCCCTCACTGACCTGAATAATTATATAACAGTGAATCAACGAAACATCTTCCAAAAGAATGTGTTAAAGACCCACAGTACTAAAAAGAACTATGAGAATAGGCCCAATCCTCCTGCCATTGAAATCAATTACAGAACTTTTCTTGACTACAGTGGGAGTGAGGTTTGGGTACCTAAGCAACCTAAGAGCCTGAATCCCATTTTCAGAAGTGATTTAGGAGCCTACGACGCAGTGGGATGTAGGCTATAGCTTTAAGAGGACGAATTGGAGAACTCAGAGGAGCAAGATAGTGGATTTTTTTTTCAGAGCAGCTCTTATTTCATTAGGTAGTTAGGAGTTAGGGCCTAAGTTTCCAAATCACTTTTGAAAATAGGACTGAGGCTCCTAAGTCACTTTTGGATATGCTTCTATTGCCTAGTCTATCCAGGCTCTGACACATGTGTAAGCCCAGGTATGATTGCAGCTCAGGTAGAGAGACTGGAGCTAGCTTTAATCTAGTTAACTTGAGAGCATGTGCTTCAGCATAGGCTAGCCCTGTGAATAGTTATCCAGAGTTTGAGGCAAGTTTGCATAACCTGCATTGAAGTGCACACTGCCGTGGCTTCAGCATTGCAGGATCCGATCTAGCTAGATTCAAACTAGCTTGGGTATGTGTACAGACCTGCAGTTGCACCCTGTGATTGCAGTATAAACATAGCTATAGGGACTTTTGACATTTTTATCCTGGGTCTAGACCAATTCCAATGGAAGTCAAATGGGAAGTTTTCCAATTGATTTAAATGGGAGCTAGATCAGGCCTTGAAAGAATTAACAACAAATTTGAGCAATAGCCAAATGTTTCCTTGGGTTACATGTTTTATAACTC